AGATTCGTCATGGATTAAATCCGCAAAAGTTTTTCGCTTAATTAAATCAAAATAAAAGAAAGAAAAGGAAAGTACATCGAGGGGAAGAAGAAGAGGAGCGAAGAATGGGGGGAGGGGGAGGGGGAGAGAGAACAAAAAAGAAAGAAAAGAGAAAATCGACGATATGTGATCGTGGTCTCTCTATCTACGTATCTTTTCATTAGCATCATCGTACTTTTCACACGACCACCTTTGGGAAGAATCTCGTGAATTTTTTAAATTTACACTCGATATATTTTTATCTTCTTTCTTTCTATCTTCATATATATATATATATATATATATATATATATATATATATATATATCTATCTCTCTCTCTTTGTGAGCTCCTCCTGGTTGAAAAAAGACCGATTCATCCGTTACTCAGTTGTATATAGACATGAATAGAAAGAGCAGGAGCGACAACGATATCGTTCGAAAATGATATATGTATCTTTTGGCAGAGATGGGAACGGCCAACGAGAAGTTTTCGTGCAACGCGCGAGATCGCATGTAACCCTTTTACCGTTCGGAAATACTTCGTTTCCGTCGTCGTCTCGCTTACGTGATCGAATATACACATACCCCTAGAGAAAAGCGGTTGGTCCTATTTTCTACGAACTTATATACTTACACACACAACACGCACACATACATACGTATATATACGTGCATACATACGTACGTATATATTCTAGGAATACGTCGGGTATCCGTTCGTGAGTCATGTTCGACCTATCTTCAACGGCTTTTGTCTCTGATCTCACACGATAGATACCCTTCCCCACCCTTTCGTGTTCGAGCATCAAGCGATTCTTTGGCTGATTTTAAGCGTCCTTATCCTATGAGCTTGTACGACATCAAGCCTGGACATTGCGATTTCTTAATGAAAATTCCTTATTAAATCGATCCCTTCGATGTAATCGGTCCTTTCGGTGTCAGAAAATATATATATATATATATGTATCAGTGTAACGATGAAAAGAAGATGCTGCGATAACAAAAATTCCAAGATCGTCTCTTTTCACGATTTTCAAGTCAACAAAAAAAAAAAAAAAAAAAAAAAAAAAGGAACGTTCGTATCGTGCAAAATTGGCCGAACGGTTAGATCGTGTTCTTAAAAGTTAAGTCACGATCGAAACCAACGAAACGAATGTCTACGACGATACTGAGATAAAAAAGAAAACAACAAAAAGATTAATAGATACAAGTACGTTTTCTCTCGTTAATCCTTACAACATTTAAGGACGTACCATACGCCAAAGAAAATATCGCCTCGCGATAACTTTTGAATTATGCCTTGTAAAGGCATTAAAATTCACGTTGGATGATATTTTGTAACAACCGAGAAAATCTCTTTTTATTATTTATTTCGCCCACACATATACATATACGTTATCAAGTATGATACGCGTATGTACACACGTATACAATGCCGATGTCGACGAATATATGTACGTTAGAGGCGACACGTTTTTTAGATGCTGAGAGAAACCAGAGAAACATATTAGAGAGAGAGAGAGAGAGAGAGAGAGAAAGGAAGCTGAAGATACATAAAAAGACAGTGATACGTTCCTCCGTAAAAAGGATGAACTAGGGTTTGTGAGATAAAATGAGAGAGAAAAGTAGAACATTGAAGATCCATATAAAACACGATGATACGAGGGAGAAACGTCTAAAAATTTTTTTCTTTTTTTCCTTTTCTATTTTTCTCGCAATAAACCTATTAGAAATTTTTCATTCTCGATTTTCGAAAAAGGGATTTCGACAATCAACGCGCGATTAAAAAGATCGTTGGCTCTGCTTAAAAAGAAGAATCATTCGATATGGTTAGACTTAAAGGGGTAAACGCGCAAAGAGACATCCTCGTAATTACAGCAACGGCCATTTGTTCCGAAAAGAATACCTCCATCAGGAGATTAAAAAGTCGCCGGACTTGGCGCGGCGCGCACAATGCAACCTAGCTATGTACGTACCATGCAATCCCATTGTAAATTACATCGTTTCATTGCACTCTACTAATTCCGCTATTCTCGGCAAAGCCACGTTGAAACAAAAGGGTGCAAAAAAAAAAAAAAAAAAAAAAAAAAAAAAAAAAAAAAAAAAAAAAAAGGGAAAGAAAATATATACATGTATGTGTATATGTATAATTATTATCATTTCGATATATATTCGAAATCATTAAACTTGGCGATATAAACTTGGACGATGATTAATTTTTCATAATCGTACGTAATGAGAAGGAAAAATTGAATATTTTTCTCATGCAGAAACGCATTTTTACAAACTTATAGGGAAAATTCAATACATTTTTTTCTACCATTCTCATACACGCGATACGTCCGCACATACGGGCGTCGTAATATCCTCTATATGCTACCGAAAACATTTTCAGGAACGACAATACGAATGGTTTCGCGAGGATGGAAGATAGGTCAATTTGAATATCCAAATCCTTTCGAAATCACTTTCGTAAGGTTCTCGCGTCTGTCAACTCTGTACGTCCTATCTATGAAGATGCGGCAGCGGTATTACAAGCGAGGAACAAACAAACAAAGAAAGAAAGAAAAAAAAAAAGAAAAAAGAAAAAAAAAAAGGTTACTGATAACGTATTTATGTAAATTTGATTTATGCATAACTCCCTATCGTGGAAAAATGAAAATCCATCTGGAACCCAAGGGAAAGATAAATAATGTAAATACTCTGACCGTGGAATTACTCGCGAATTCGTTCTATGTAATATGTACGCGAACTAGAATAGAAGTTAACGTTGGCAAATCCTTTAATTCGGATGTATCTCTCGGGAAACTATGATGAGAGGAGAAAAGCCGGATCCACTTGATTTTTTTTCAACCTCGTTTTTCCATCATCGCTGATCACGAGGATCGGCCATAATTTTTGAAAAAGGAGATTATCTTTTATCCTACCGAGAGATCTCCTTAGCCGTACAAAGACTAATTACGTGTAACAAAAGATATCGTAGTAATCCAAAAGAAATATTATTCAGGATTGTAATAATATCAAAAAATTGATTTCGAGCGCGTAACGTTCGCGAGATCAAACGTGAAAATCGAGAAAAAAAATTAGCGCATTCATTATTATTCGATGATCGATAAGAGATAATAATCACCGTTATCTCAAAAATTTCTCATAGAGAAATTCCCTTTAACAGCGATTTATCGTTTTTCTTTATCCCAGTAGAACAACATGCATCTCTTTGAAAGTTTCTTGCTTTTCTTCTTCTATTATCATATAGCTCGGCTTCTTCAAAAATCTTTTCAACTTGTCTGTCTGTCTGTCTGTCATGCAGCATGTCTCATGCTCGGAGTACCCTTGATAATAACGAGATATAACGCACCGCCAAGATCGGATGAAATATTTTAAATCTTTAGAGGACGTTTATCTTAAAATAAAGAGACACGGTGCAACGCACGCAACTTGTCTGTAAAAAAAAAGAACGACTAAGGTAAGAATAAAAATACGGCACGCGAATGAAAAATCATTCGATGTGAAAATAGAAGGCAAGCGTTTACGAAAGCGAGTAGAGTAAATAAATTTTGGGACGATTCAGTGGTAATCGCAAAAAGTAAAGTTTCGTTGTCGCTTCAAAGAGGGTTGATTTTCACGCAAAACAATTTGCAAACGACTAAACGTCGACTAGAAGGAGAGAAGTAACGTTGGAGAAGCCACGTCGACGATCGTTCCATTGTTTTCACTGACAATGGGGGGGAGGGGGGAATACGAGAAACGGCCAGAAGAAAGCTTCCGTTGCGCTTTCAGATTTCGATCATTAAATTGGACGGCATTGTCGGCCGCTAAAATCGAGAGACAATGAACCTATGCGCTTTCTCGGCTTTTCCAACGGGGAACAATGAAAGAGACGTAACATCTCTCTTTTTTCTTCGTTGCTTCGTCGGTCTCTATCGTTCTTATATGTGCCTGATTTGTGCGTGTGCGTGTGCATATAAAAAATACGATAGATCCAAAATTTCTTACTTCGTGAAAATTTCACGATAGAGGTAAAGTTTCGAAGTGGACAACCCCATCCGTGTTCTTGGCACCGGACGATACGATATTGCTGATCGTTTACAGAAATATCTTTGGAGACGGTAATACGCTTGTTCTAGATCGAATCGCGGAGGTGCTCGACCCCAAATCGGGTGCCCGCATTGCTTCACGCCTTCGTGCAAATCAAGTCGTAATCAAGTTGCAAACGCGTAGAATCCTCCTTCCCGTACTCCTCGCTAGCACGATCTTTACTATTGAACCTATTTATAACAAAAGAAATTTCCTTTTTCGTATTTACTTTGCGTAAAAGTAAAAACGATTTATTTTAAAAGTCGTACGAAAGACGACTAATAAAAGAGAAATAAAAGACAAGCAATCCGACGCATCATCGGTCATCAAGTCAAAAAGGCAAAACTAAGTCGACGCTTCCGTAATGAATTTAATTACACGGAGTACTGATTCCAGCACGGTCGACGAGTCATATACAACTCATCCACCCACTCTCTCACACGCGCGCGCACACACACACACACACACACACATGCACACAGGGGAACACACGAAGACACGAAACGAACGAATACACACGCGTATCTCTACCGCGCTTTCTCTCATTATTTTCCAAGAGAGTGCCTCGGAGTGGTGTTAATGTATCATCGTCCTTCCTTCCTTCCTTCCTTCCATCCTTCGGGCAACCTCCCCTTTTCCCTCCGCCTTCTCCACCATCATCACATTCCTCGCCAGTAACCAGCTGAACTTTATTTTCGCAAAGCGTACTACTTTCTTTACGTTCGGTTAACCGCGTCTAATTAAACGCTCGTTAACTTATCTCTTAACCGCACTCGGCGTATATAACGTAATGATTCTTATCAACGAATCTAACGTTAATATTCGTTTTCTTTCTATTTGCAGTCTGACAAATAAATGATCTATCTACGAAAACGATCGGGAGGTACATATAGGGACTCTAACCTTAAGCGAAGAAAGATCGCGCGATGAACGACGACGTAGAGAACGACGTAGAGAGAGGATCCTCTGACGTCAGAATTTTACAGCAACAACGGGCGACAGTTCGCTTCGGTTATCCTGTCAATCACGTCGCTCGATAATTTGACTTCGATCGTCCTTGTCCTTTCGACGCCTTTCCTCCCATATAATAGTATCTCTTTTGGTTCCTTTCAAAAACGAAGAAAGAAAATAACAAGAGAAAAAAAGAAAAAAGAAAGAAATAAAAAAAATTCTTCACTCCCCAATTATCCTTTTATTCGATTGATATTTTTGTATACTTTTCATCAAATTTCTTTTCTCGATCGATATCATTGAGATAAAATTGCTCTGCTTCTTTCCATTGACGAACGATCCGTTCGATGGATAGTTTGTAACGCGGGAAAGCGAGCAAAAAGGAAAAAAAAAAAAAAGCGTGTGAATTGTATTTCGAAATTAACACGACACGAACGAACCACTCGCAACGACGGCCGGCGTCGTACTGCCATCGGCCGACACTGTCAAGGGGGTTTTATCGACGGCGCGACAGGCACACGCACGCACACATAGTCACGCATACCGTCCGCTTTCCTTCCGCCGCTGCCTCGCCTCACCGGCGAAAATTCTCTTTTCCGTTTGGCCAATAGCAGGACGAATTCTCTCGGCATGCTCGACGAGCCTTTGAAATCGCACGTTCGATCGGAAAGATCGATTGTTTCTTTCTCTCTCTATTCTGTGATCTTACTCGAAGAAGACATGCGTATAGAAGAAGAAAAAAAAAAAAAAAAAAAAAAAAAAAAAACAAGCAGAAAAGAAAACAAGATTTGTATTATATAAATGCAAATTGAAATGCACTCGAGAATACTTTTATTATCCGAAAAATATTCAACTACGAATGCGATTAAAGCATAATCGCGTCGAGTTTTATATCGTAATCCTTTTAATTTGGCCGATCAATCGAACGATAGCACGAACATATACACTTTACGTATATCTACATCAAAGCAGCTCGTAGGCAAGCAATGTTATCACGAGGGATTCGAAAAAAGTCAACCCTCCGTGTTACATTGTTTACCTCGACAGAGCTTCACGCTGCCGTCGCGACGCGTTCTGTTAAAGAGACAAACGGCGAACACACGCACTCACACGTACGTCAAAGGAATCGAAAACATTTTCGAGTATTTTGTACAATATACATACACACATATATATGTATATGTATCGGGTAAATTAATTCTCTTCGTTCACACGCTACTCTATGTCTTTTCTGCCGAAACGAACGGAAACTAAAACGAGTTCGAGAGATTTGATGATCGTCCGTTTCTAATCAAATATGGTATCGTTTATTTGTATATACAAGGTGACTTTGAAAAAAAAAAAAGAGAAAAAGACAAGGATCACACTTTTAAAAATAAATAAGAAGATAAAAAAAAATAGATTGTAAAGAACAAAATGTCTATTGAGGTTTTTCTCGATTAAAGAGAATACGTTTGATAAAGTGCGATGAAAAAAGCCGGCAATCGAATTTTTAAAGATACGACACGATATCAGCCTAGAAAGGTACACGCGATTCTCATGTAATAAAAAAGAAAAGAGCGATCGAAAGCGTCCGATAGATCGATCGAAAGAGAAGGAAAGAGAACACGCTTGTAGGTGGAACAAAAACGAATTAACGATACCATTTCGCGGTCCGCTCCCTTTTTATCGAGCACCGACAGGAATACGTAGCTTTCCGCGAGGTCGAAGGCATTTTCCCACGCATATCGTGTTATAGGTCGTAGGTCGGCCCAGCATATCGAAGCCGATGGAATGAACGGCAACGCTTCAAAGATCAATCATATCGAGAAAGAGCGAGAGAGAAAGAGAGGAAGAAAAAAGATCAAGAGAGACATCGCATTTTACTTTCCTCCTCGAAACGTTTTAAAAGTCTTCCATGTAGTCTTCCTATTCTCTTTTCATCGTCAAATATCTTTGTGATAGATTTTCTAAATTAATAGCGAATAAATAAAAAAGAATAAGAAAAGAAAAAAGAAGAAGATAAAAATTTTAAAGCGATATAAAGTATAGCAAGGAGTCATAGAGCATATAATAAAAATTGGCTCTCTCGTTTTGAAGAGAATTTGATTAATTGCGGACTTTTAATTAATAAACATTTCTAAGTTGGCTTTCTCATCAATGCCAACTATAAATCTCTTCTTGAGTTTACGCGTTGACGAGTTATCCAGCTGTCTGACGATTCTCTCTCCTCTTTTAATAAGCTACCTCGTTATATGGTTTCACGGAAAGAGTTTTGCAAAATGGCACGTTTAGAGTCAAATGCGATCAGCTTGCACGAGTCCATGTTGAATTTGCAAAGACAAGCCGAGAGGAAACTCTCGAAATTGCTACGCGAAATATAATACTTCCATCGCGTTTAATCGGCTTTTACGAATTGAAACGTCGTTCCTATCGTGCCCGATCTATTATTGCTCTTTCAAAAGCTCCTTCAAAAATATAACAACAATTAGAACGTAAAGATTATTAAACGCGTCGATTCGTTTGTTTTCCTTCGTATCTTTTCACTCTATTAAACGAAACGCTGAAAATCAAAATTCAATAACGTTAACATCGCGTACAACGCTATTATTATAAACATATCTTAACGAATAGATGAACGATAACTAGCTTATCCTACTTTTATGTAACGAAAGAACAGCTCGGACAGTTCGTTTCAATTAACTTTTTCCCTTATAAACGGCGAACGGTTGTATTTCTCGTTCGATTCGAGAACGTTGAAAAACGTTTTTCTTTATAATTAAAAAAAATAAAAATCCAATATAACACGAGCGTCCCAGATCTACACGCAATTTCGATCCAATCGCGTTTCATTTTGAGAAAGGGAGATGAAAACGAGACGAGATGAAATTTGTATTAATAGTCCAAGATTTTCGCAATTTCGAAAGTGAATTTTTTCTTTCTTTCGTTTATTTTGTCTTGTATTTTTTTCTTTTTCTTTTTCGAGTCATTTCCAAACTTATCAACGAACATTTTCAAGATAGTCCTCTTCGTATCAGTGTTCGAATCGAGATAATAAATCGTGAATAACGTATTGGAGAATCATGTGATTTTTTTTACTATTCCTTTGCGAAAAGACAATGGACATTTTGCTATGAAAAATGATAGCGCGTTCCACCGTGACCAGATTATTCGCGACAACGTCGAACCACGGTGGATATTAAGATAGGAGGAGGAGAGTTATATTATTCGTTCCAATCACCGGACATACTGTCGGGAGATATGTGGCCGTTATATGCGAATGCGGCCCGATAACTTCGACAATTAAAATCCAGATCTTTGGCCGGTTTCCCAAAACGACGATAGTCGTCGAAATTGCGTCTTTCCGTACGTCTATACGGATATTAAGTCAATCGGAGTCATCGATTTTTTTTAACGTCGCGTGAACCAGACGAAGATTATTCTCGATTCGATTTTATAAACATATTCCTCGAGGGCTTTCGTTACGAAGCCAAATAACAATAATCCCTTGACTTATATTTTTTTTTCTTTTTTTTTCTTTTTTTTTCTTTTTTCTTTTCTTTTTTTTTTGGAAAACCAGACGAACAAAAGCGTGTTCGAGTTTAAATTTGTAACGCAGAGGAAAAGTGAGTGTCGGTCATCCGTGCGAGCTCGTTCGGAGGGGGATCACGGAAAAAAAAGAGGGTCGTGAGAGATATCTTAGCCTTCGGCTATTTTCAACGTCTGAGCGATCGTACACCGCGCGTAGGACGATTGCTTGGGATAGGGCAGTTATTTTCTCAATGAAAAACCCAAGCAAACGATAATATTATCTTCTTTACTACGCAAAACTTTCTTCGTGATCGTAGGTAAAAGCAGAATGATAGGAAAACTGAGAAGCGTAAAATCGATGAGAAAAAATATTCAAAGATAGGTGTTCCCGGGGATATAACGGGGAATATTATTCGAAAGAGATTAAAAATCCGAACGTAATATAAAGATTTTGTCTGTTGGGCGTGGAATGTGTTGGTACACATTCATATGGTACATCGATTTGGATAAGATAGAAAAAGAGAAAAAGAAATAAAAGAAGCAAAGAATCACGAAAACATAATTATAAAATATAAAGTCTTATGCCGTGTGTAAAGGAGGAGAAACCATTGGAAAAAATGTTTGCCTCTGAAAAAATTTTACTTTGATTCGTGCACAGTGGCCGAATCATAAAAGATATCCCCCGACATATTATCATCCGTCGAAAGTAACGAGTTGTTGTCATCTGTTCGTAGGAACATCGTTTTTTTTCTCTCCTATAGACACTGTATCTCCACGAATCGACCAGATTTTACCAATACAACTTTCATTTTTTTTGTTTCTTTTTTTTTCTTTTTTTTCTTTTTTTTCTTTTTTTTCTTTTTTTTTTGACGTTATATACAAACGTCTCTATATAGACGTATGTGTATTACTCTCGGTAGTATACTCTTGCGTACTAAAGCGAGCATCGCTCGAATTCACACGTATTTCAGTGAACGAAATCATTGAATCGCTCTTACGAATCCAACTCGAAAAGCTTCATCTCGTTGCTCGTTCGCGCACACCTACGGTACATGTACCAAGAATACATTCATATATAGATATAGAAATCCACGTTACAAACACAGTTCAGTCATATAGCTAAAGATGAAACAGCCACGAGATAACTCGGCACTCTTGTTTGCTATGATTTTCAACCGTAAATTCATTCCGTCCCGGATTCGTTGCTGCTTCAAGAATTTCCCGTTTTCCCCTCTTACCCATTTTTAATCCACGTCGATCGAGTTTTCAAGCTCGGATAATCGTGTCACGATTTTATCACTTTCGACTCGACAAAGGCATTATCGACAATATTCTACACGTTTCCTTTTTCTCTTTTATTTGTTATTTTTACTCTTCAATGTGTCCAGTCCGCTTCGAAAAACCGATCTTTTTCCGTTCGTAAGGTGATTATTTTTCGTACGTTCGTTTATATTATCTCCTATTAATACGACATAATCGCGTACGTGTACGCGAAAAAGTCGAGATTTTTTTCGAACAAAAAAGAAAAAAAAAAAAAAGAAAAAAAAAGAAGATATATATATATATATATATATACGTATCGGTATCGATTCGATATCGATGATGCAGAGGTACAAAGCCACTTCAATTTTGAATCCGCTTTTCGTACGGCACATTGCAAACGCATCGAAAACTTTTTCGGATCCGAATTACGTCTTTCGGGTAATCTGCAAAATTCCCATACCGTAATACATACGCGGAGCTCGTTGCCTCTCCTCTTTAGTTGCTCTCGAGTTGCTCTCGAGCGTAGAATTTAAAGGGAACATTTCTACGTTGGTTGAATTCAGCTGATGGTGCTCGTTCGAATGGAATCTGCGCTCATCTGAAACATATAAATGGTTAATTAATACTTTGAAGGAAGGAAAAGGGGAAAAAGAAGAAAAGAAATAAAAAGTAAACGTAAAAAGCGTAAAGAAAATCGAAGGGGA